CCTGAACTAGATAATCCATTGGTCCAGATTCACTTGATACACTGATAATTTCTGATGCTGATCAGAGAGTTTTTTTGGGTTTTTTTAAACAGAAAATGGGAACAGCATCCATGCAGTAGGCATCTCCACAGATCATGGGCTAATTAATCCACCACTTGCACCATGCATCTACCAATGCACCATGATGTACAAGAAGCCCGATAGTGAAATAAAGACAAATGAATAGCACTAATATTCACTGCTACAAGAATTAGAAAATATCCATACCATGGAAGATTGGCACCATTCATTATCAATCTTAATTTCGCTATAAGGCTATTTGCACATCACTGTGGCATTCAACAACAAATGAAGACATATTCATTCTCAGGAAATGGAATATAAATGTGCTGTGTTTTTCCAGAGTGAATATGACTTTAAGAACCTTAAACTATTTTGAGTAGTTGATTACTGTTAATAGCAACGTAATTTGAAAGATTTATACTTTTTCCTGGAATATGAATTTGAATTAAATAATACGTGGTCAATTGGGCAAAGATATTGGTAAGACAATAAGTATGCATATTTTTGAATATTTTTGAAAAATGGGGTAGTCATTTCAAATAAAATATGGATGACAGAGATGACTGGTTTATTTATTCACAACATGTCAAGATTGACCTTCTACTTGACACAGAAATAAAAATCTGTTCAAGTACCTTGTTAGTCAACAATTCTAAAACAAATATATAAAAAATTATACTGGAAATTGATGGAAATCAGCTTTTGAGATTAAACATATATCAAGAATAAGGTATACTTCAGAGAGAAAGATAAAAGTTGTTTTGGCCCAACATAGAAGGCAAACAAAATCTCCAGCAATTATGGGCATGGGGTGATGCAGGACGGCATAATTAACATGTGTTTTATCTGAGCCAGTGTGGTGTAGCGGTTTAGAGTGTGGGACTGGGACTCAGCCAATTTGGGTTCTAGTCCCTGTTCAGCCATGGAGCCAACTGGGTGACTTTGGGCCAGTCACAGACTTTCTGCCTGTTATGAGGATAATACTGAGAGCAGGAGGAGAACAAAGAACAAAGCAGGATATAAATCTAATAAATAACAAAGAAAGAAAGAAGAGTGGAATAATTCTATTTAAAATGTAGTAAATTAATACAAATTGAAGTTTGCCACTGTGCTAGAAAAAAATGAACTGTGTTTAACATTTTACTTTTCGTCAGCATACAATTTTAATCTGGATAGTCACTCTTTTTATCAGGTTGCAGAATGTGCCTCAAAATTAATATTTTCTATTATTTGTGGAGATGGTTTGTAGTATTTGTGGAGATGGTTTGTAGTATTTGTGGAGATGGTTTGTGCACAAGCAGATGATACTCCTGATTTCCTACTACTGTGTTTCCATTGCAGAGCACAGCACCCAGAAGAGAAGCAGCTTAAATACAGAGAGCACACTTTCCAGTTCTCACATAGGCAGTGCATCTGTTTCAGGTCTATCAGACAGAGATGAAGAGATTACACTACAGACTCTAAGAGGCATCAGCAGTTTTCATAATACAACACAAATGTCCACCATTACTAATACTAAAGTCCACAGTGCTACAGAGGTTGCTGATTCTTCTTCTATGTGGACTGCAGTACACACCAGACAAATGAATTTGCCACCAAAAAGCACTGACTTCACAGACACAGAAGTTACATATTCTCAGGATCCTTCACAAATAACAGGTAAAGTATGAAAATCTGTTTAACCTTATATCTTCATTTTTATAACAGTGGGAAAAATGAAGCTATCTCTGAGGTTATTTGGTTTTGAAAGGTTGTCAGAAGTATTGATGCAAATTTGAATGTTCTATTTCAGTCTTAACTCTTTCAGTGAAAAAGGTGGGAAAACATTTCCATATTATCAAATCTTCATCAAAGGATTCATTGTTTTATCTGTACACACACACACAGCCATCACAAATTGTTTCCATTAGATATGTCTGAATATACTTATGAAAGGAAATTTGTGACACCAAATCTTATGTTTCACCTGTAGAAAACAGTGATCAAACCAGAAGCAGCTCAAATACAGAGAAAATGCTTTCTAGGTCTCACAGAGGCAGTGCTTCTGTTTCAAGTCTGCCTGACAGAGATGAAGAGATTATGCCAGAAACTGTAAGCAGCATCAGCATTTCTCTGAATGCAGCACAAATGTCCACCATGACTAATTCTGAAACCCACCAAACTACAGACTTTGCTGATTCTTCTTCTATGTGGACTGCAGTACAGACGAGACAAATAAATTTGGCACCAGAAGACACTGATTTCACAGAGACAGCAGTTGCATATTCTCAGGCTCCTTCACAAATAGCAGGTAAAGGGTGAAGATCTCTAACTATATATCTTCATTTTTATAAGAGTGGAAAAACAAAGCTATCGCTGGGCTTGTTTGGTTTTTGAAGAATATTGGCAATAAAATGGCACTGAAAATTTAAATATTCTATTTCAATCTTTTTTGATTCAATTTTTTATAAGATGAAAAAATGACAGAGGACTCATTATTTTTATCTAACTGGGATTAATGCATTCCATTAGTATGTATAAATATAATTATGAAAGAAAAGTTGTGACATGGCATTTTGTGTTTCAGCTGTAGAAGACAGCGGTCAGATCAGAAGCAGCTCCAATACAGAAAAAACGCTTTCCACTTCTTACACAGATAGTAAAACTGTTTCAGGTCTATCTGACAGAGATGAGGAGAGTACTCTACGAACTCTAAGAGATGTCAACATTTCTCACTATGCAACAGAAATATCCACCATGACTAATTCTAAAACCCACAGCTCTACAGACTATGCTGGTTCTTCTTATGCATGGACTGCAGGACTCACCAAACAAATGAACTTGACACCAAAAGACCATGATTTCACTGAGACAACAATTATACAAGCTCCTTCAGAAACAACAGGTAAAGAATTAAAATCGCCAACTTCATTCTGGATTTCAGAACACAATTTTGTTTACCTGCCATAAACCAGAAAAAGGAGTAATTGCTCCTAGTTTGTGAAACCGAAAACAATGGAATGTCCATGTAAACTCTGCTTTACCGGCCAGGAGAGGGAGCTCTATTTCACTGTGGTCTGGATAGATGGCCTCTGTGTATGTTTCTTTGAGCTTTATTATCTTTCCTTCTTCTGCAAAATGGTTGTTAGAGCATAAAATTGTAGGTTCAAAAGAGTTGTTAGAGCATAAAATTGTAGGTTCAAAAGAGTTGTATGTTGCAACTGAGAGCCTGCCACTTCCTTGTACTTCAATTCCTGGGCATGCTACTTTCCATTTAGCTTTACTAGTTTGATTTCTGGGATTTTAACTGGCTTGTCTCCCATGCCAGCCATTTTGTGAGAGCACCCGCAATGCTTTCAAAATTCTAGATGTGCCTATCCGCACAGAAGGACTTGGGAACCTATACCACTCTGCTGCATTGTTATACAAGTGTGTGAGCTTCCACACCTTTCCCAGTGACCACTATTGATAAGGACTGAGACAGTGGAAAGGGAAACTTGGCATGGTGGTCCTACTGCTCATTGTAATCTATATTCTATGATATAGCATAGAACAGGAAACATGCAATGGGGGTTCTGAGTTGCCATGATGAGCATAACCTCTAACGCACAGACAGTGGACATGCCCTACCCTTTCCACCAATCCAGTGGCATGTCATATGTGACAACAGTAATATAGAGGTTACCGATAACCACTTCCATGCAGAGCAGGTCCATGTGAGAAGCATGTTTTATGGAAAAGACTCACAGTTTGGTTGGCATGCACTCATAAATGTATTAATAGTGGCCACTGGGGTGGAAAATCTAAAAACAGTAGAACTGTTCCACAGTTTCTAAATTTTGACATGAATGAGATGGCAGTGGCATGAGAATGGCTACTGAAAAGTAATAATAAGAATCTGCAATCTGTACACACTTACAAGTAAGCACACTTACTCAAGTCTCATTGAAGACATTCAATGAGTAAAGAAGGATAGCATTGCACTGTTATTGTACTTTCCTTACATTAGTCTGAATGTGTAAGGCATACAACCTTCTCATTCCCATTTGTTTCTTTTAGATGTAAGGAGCAGCCAAGATACCTTTAGCAACCGCAATATAGAAAAAAGGGCTTCACAGACTGAGAGTGCATTTTCTACTGTGAGACTCACCAGGGATGGAGAGGGCACACCTGCACCTGTTACTAATATGAGCAAATCCACAGATGCTACAGAGCCCGTGCTTGATTTGGAAAATACCAGTTCTTCAGTTTTTGGATCATCTGCTACAGCACAAAGTAGAAAGGAAAGTTTCCCGTTTACAGAAATGGATTTTACAGAATCGATAAAAGAGCCTTTACGTACATATTCATCCAAAGCTTCCATTTATTCATCTTCTACAATAGACATTTCAAGTGAGTTTTTCTGTTTTTGTTAACATCTCAGTTAAAAATCCACCAGGATCCCAGCCATTCATTCACTTTCTGTCTTTCTGTCCTAACTAGTTTCTCTCCATTTCTGCCCACTTTCAATTTTTACAGTCTATTTTCAGTGGCTAAAACATCTTCATACTAGAACCCTGTAAACAGAACTTTGCTCTATGACGGCATCAACATGCTTTATGTGACAAATATTTATTTATTTAATTTCTTTATCGCTCGACAGCGGAAGCTCTCTGGGCAGTTCATAGCAGCATATTTAAAAACAATATAAAATATGCCAGTTAAAACATTATAAAATTTGACAATATAATAGTTAAAAACCAAGTTAGAAACAGAAAAATATACATTAAAAAGACCCAGTTAAACCCTGTCTAACAACCAGCAGACTCTGTTATCGAATTTAAATGCCCTGTATAGAGGAGAGTTTTGCCTGGTGCTGAAAAGATAGAAAAGTTGACAGCAGACAGGCCTCACTGGGGAACTCGTTCCATAACTGGGGCAGGGGGGACCACTATTTCACATGCACTTTCACAGTTTCCTGTGAAAAATGTCATTTTAAACAAAAAAAGTACAAGAAAGCGTTATATATACAGCAGACTTGTTCTTCATGAAGCTGCCCTGAAGCACAATAGTTGTCTTTTTTTAAAAAATGGGCAGTTGCATATCTCTTCTACTATCTCAACTGTGGTGAAATAAACAGCAAACCATACTCTGGCTCTACATTTATTGTTTCCTTTGTACACATGTTCCTTCATAGTGCTGTAGCTTTGAAAACTACTTTATTATGTTGATTTATGAAATACACGCAGTGTAAAATACTGCTTACTGCGAACAAGTAAAACAGGCGAGACATTTCAGACTCTGTAGCAATACTGTAAAACAGTTCGAAATACCTATAGACATTGCTGGCTAGTTTCTCATCAACAGAAATCATTTTTTAAAAAACAAAATCCATACCAGTTTAACTTTATGAAAACATTCTAGCTACAAGCATCTTCTGAATATTGAAGCTCATGGAGGCTTTCTTTTCTAGGTCCATCATGTGCTTGGTGCCATCCAGAGATTAGCATAGTGCAAACTCATTGTAGGCAAAATAACCTAAGCTTATATCACAGAGGTAGGTAACCTGTGGCCCACAGTATCTTACCATTAGCCATGCTGGCTAGGATTAGCTAGGGCTAGGCAGAACATCTGGTGAGCCACAAGTTGCCTACCTGTGCTATAACAAAAGGATATAAGGATTAGGTGCTGAGGTTCCCATCATCAACATTTTCTCTGAATTGTGCACAGATAGGCTGTGTGGCATTAGCTGGATAATTTTCAAGATTAGTTGTGCTTCTTAAGTTATGCATAAAAGTATGCATAGCTTAAGAAGCACAACTTAAGCTATGCATAAAAGCTATGCATGAAGTCACGATTGTGAAATAGACCCTTTCCACCACATTTATTCTCATTTCAGGCACTGGGAGCAGTTTTGAGACAATGAAAGGAACCATTGCAGAAAGAAGGGTTTCCAGTGCTTCTACAGATGGGGCATTCCTGTCAAGTACATTAGCACACGCTGGAGAAAGGACTCCAAGGTCTCTGTCTGATAACAGCACTTCACCTGAGGCAACGGATAGTAGCACTTATAATACTGAAGCTTCCAGGTCATCCAATTCAACCTTCACTTCTGTGGCAGGGGAAGAAACAGAAAAACAGAAGGACTCACGAAGGGAATCATTATTCACTGAGCCTTCTCCTGAGCACTCCCTCGAACATTCTTCTGCAGTTCCAACATACTCATCACCAAAAGATTCAAGTGAGTTTCTTTTGCACACAGAATGAAAGAGGAACTGACTGTTTTTGCCACTATTTTGCTTGTGTAGGTCTATATGTACTGGAAATATAGATTATTACTTTTGCTTTTTAGTATTATTAATATTTCTATACCACTCAATAGCCAAAGCTCCCTGGGCAGTTTGCAAAATATTAAGGACCTCCATATCCGCTGTCTCAGTTACCACAATTTCAGTTAACCACAGATGACCTCAGTCCAAAAAAGTAGTTGTAAAGTGCCAAAGGAAGTCTTAACCTGCTTCCTGTAAGCAAAAATTCTTGATTTAATAGGTCAAGAAAAAAATTGTATGCTGAGGTTAGAACAAAATTGGGAAGAAGAAATGTGTATGTAGTTCATTTGAGTTTATTTTGAATATAGAGTTTATTGGAATTTATTTTGTGACCTACCACTTGCTGCCCACTGCTGCCACTCATGGCGGCCCATGTGTGGCTCTCAGCATTTACCAAATGTGGCTCTTCCTTTGCAAAAGTTTGGTCAGCCCTGGTAGTGTTTGCTATTATCTGTGGTTTCCGGCATTCACTGGGGGGCTTGGGACCAATCTGTGTGGATTTGGGGGCCCTGCTGTATTAGTATGCATAAGTATATGTATATCAAGGCACATATAAAAGTCAGGTATTTATTTATAACTTTTATATGCCAGCCTTTATGTATGACATCTCAGGATGGCTTGCAATATTAAAAGGTATCTAATCCTCATGGCAAAATCGTCTGCTATGAGTTGCATCATTTGTTCAAAGGATAATGTTTGGGTTTGTTTTTGTGAACCAGAATTTGTTTGGTCCAAAGGGCATCTGGGCTACAGCATGTGCCAATGAAATGTCACTGTTTACAGTATTCCATTGGCAAAACTGTAAGTTATCTCAGAAACCAGTGTTTTTCAAAATGAGGGACAAATTGATAATTAACTGTAGTGGTCATTCTGAATCAGACAGTTTCTGATAGTGACCCGCCAGCTGTGACTGCAATTCTAAATTTCATTTCTAAATTTCAGCTATTAGAGGCAGCCTTCATTCAGTTAGTAGCTCAAGGACTTCACAGTCATATACTGTAAGCCCCTACAGTTCAGCACTTTTCAGCAAAGAAGAAAAGCAAACTGTACAATCCATAATCAACACTACATTTGATGAAGTAACTGAGAGCACCTCACTGTATATGGAAAAGTCCAACAGTTCAGAACTGAACCTTTCATCACCAGAGGTATACTCAAGAAGGACTGAGTTGTCAGCCAAAGAACTGGGTACCTCTGGACCTTCAACTGAGACTTTTCAAAGTCTCAATTCCTCAAGGATACCAACTTATTCTTCCTTCCAACGTGAATCTTCAGGTTAGTTTTATTTTGTAACCTGCTTTGCCTGGCAGAACCAAACAGAGCAAAAGCTATATATTTCATCTGAGCCTATAATGCTGTGGTGAGCAATTTTGGAGGGTCTGCAGGCAATTTCCATTGTTTGTACACCACCAAAATCGGCACCGACCAGTTACTATCCAATCAACAGTGAGAAAGAAGTTTAAAGCAAAACTGCAACAAGATGCACAGGAAGTATGTGTCTTGCTTAATGCCACATTATTATCCTGAAGCCTGGTGGCAAATATGGTGGCGCAGCGAGAGTTGGGGGTGGTGAAGGGAAGAAAAGGGACTGGGTCTGCAGGGCATGCTGGTATTTCCACCCCCATGCAAAGCAACATGTTTCATTGGATCATATTTTGTTGGTGAAACTGGAGAAAACTTAATCAGAAAGAGATATTGCTTTGATGTACTTTGTGTGTCTCTTTGTGCTGGTATCAACAAAACGCCAGATGTTTTCAATAATTAGGCCTGTATGACTGCAGAACTAAATGTTGACATGTTGGGCATGTAGCTCTTCATTGGTTATGCATCAGATATTTAATAGATGTGCATGCTCTGCTTTGTAGTTCCTCTTGTTGGAGTCTATACTGTGACCCAACAAAGATGACCAGCTTACCAAGTGGTAAGGCTTTCCGCAACTAATTTGCTTAGTACTGATAAAATCAGAGTGAGATTGTTTTTGCTTGTGTGGATTCTAATGTGTGCTGAAGGTTGGAGGCCTTATCAAGCACTAAGCTTTCTCAGCACTAAGCACTTTATGACCTGGTCATCTGCATTGTACTCAAGTTTGTTTATTTATTTGATTTCTGTACTGCCCAGCAGGCGAAGCTCTCTGGGCACTTCACAAAATAAAATAAAAAAGCACCAAGTTAAACCATATTAAAATATCATAAAAAGTTTACAGTAGAAAATTTTAAAAGCAATTTTTAAACACACACATACACACACAATAATGTGAAGAAAAAAGTTATTCTCTTTTCTTAGGTACATGACTTTGGACAGGTCATCCTAAAACATCGCTGTCACTCCTTCCGGCCTAGAATTCCCAAACAAACCCATATAGCCTGAAGAAAAAGAACTATCCTTTTCTGCAGTTGGCCATAACTCAGTGATAAAGCACATGATCTTTCATGCAAAAGAGTCCTAACTGAAGTAAAAGGGTATGAAAGACCTCTGCCTGAGACTTTAGAGGACCACAGCCGGCTAGACTAAGCTAGATGGTCTAAGTTTGTATGTCCATTATTGGAACAATTGCATTCAATTTAGACTAACACCACATCCATGGGGGGTAGGTCCAAAAGAACATCCTCCTATTGAATTTGACATGGCAGTGTTGCACTGGGTTGACTGATGACTCTCAGTGCATTCACTTTGATGTATTTACATAAAGCTGCAGAATGGAGGCAGGTAGACATGTCTTGGCTCATCCTTGCTATCATGTGCTTTCCCATAAGAGTTGAATCCCATTCACGTTGTACCTGTAACCATCTCCCTCAGTTAAAGAGTATCATACTGAGCTGGCTTCGGGACATGCATTACCGCATTCAGATGTCTGCTGCCAGCCTTATTATGGGGATGCGTCCAGAAAGAAGATGTGAAACTAGTGCTTCTTCTTTGGCACTAACTACTGTTTCTGGCTGCAGAAGGTGCAGGTTTAATACATAGCCTGCAAAGTCCTGTATGTTCTGCATCCTGTATACATTAGGAAGTGCCTGTACCTATGTATTTATTTCTATAGTTAAGTGTTTACAGCAAGTCTTGTGACCTACCTTCTCCATCTCTAACATGAAGCACTCAAAGCAGTTTACATAAAAACTAATAAAGCAACCATCCATCTACCTTCATCAAGATACAAAAGAAATCCATATGGTTAATGTTGCCTTGAGATAAACTGTTTTGCATGGATAAAACACAATTGAGGGATTGGTTATTCTGGAGTGAATCTATGGAAGAACTGCACCTAATTAAATCTTCTGTGTTTTTCATAATGCTTTCACATTTGTTGAAACATGTTTTAAAGTGAGTTTTTAAGTTTATCCCAGTGCTATTAGAAAATACGCTTATTACATTTTAAGATGATAGTAATGATAATTATAGATGGGCATTATAAGAATGGAACAGAATGTGCCGGTGGAAAAGAGATCATACAGTTGTGGCTAAAATCAAATGGAAGACATAGTGCATTATATTCTAACTGCCATCAACAGCAAAATAAATGGAACTCTGTTATTTTGTAATGGTAAAACTTTATTAATATTATCCTAGAACCTATGCAATTGATAGCTATAAGGTTAATTACTGCTAGTTCTTCATGATACTTTTTCATGGATGGTTAGGAATGTAATATGATTTTTTAAAATCTAAATACAATGCTCTTTGCCTTGATCAGTGATTAAGGTAAAAATTCACTTACAATGCAGTATTTCAAAAAATACAAAAGCAGTGATGAAAAGTGAAGCTAAAACTAAGAGAGTTCCAGGACTAAGCAAAAAAGGAAACAGAAAAGAAACCTTTAAGCTGCAGAGATAGTCAAGGCCTAAAGCCTCTTGAGGAAGTGGCTGACAACTTGGCTAGCCAAATTCACCAGCTGTCATGGTGCAGCAACGGACCATGTACCTGCACAGTGCTGGATACATACGCCTCTCTGCCCCATTGCTTCTGGGTAACAAAACGTAAGAGTAGAAGAGCCCTTCCCCACTTTGTGCCACACTGTTGTGTCCAGTAGTTTAACCAAGTGAGCTCTTTTACCAGCTGCCATGAACTGTGGCAGGATCAGGGATGAGCAGGAAGTGCCATGTTCTGGGGACCATGTCAGAGAAGTCCTCTTGCCACATTTCTAGCCCTTGTACCTCAGGAAACAAAGGCAAGTGCTGTTGTAGCCTTTTGCATTTGCTTAAAATTTAAGCTGTTAAATGCTGTATGGTGATCTTTGTGCTGTTTTATTGTGGTGCATGTATTTTATTGGCTGTTGTGAGCTGCCCAGTGATTCAACATTTGGGCTATATGAAAAATAAAATTAATAGTAATAATAATAACAGTAACAACAATAATTTCAAGAGGACCTTACAAGTTGACCTCAAAGAGCAGACCAGTTTATTAGTTCATCCAGCTCCTTTTGAGGAATACTCTCCCTGGACAAATTCTTTGGAGCACCAAGGTTGCAGAATTTATTTTCAAGTAATACAGCCTGACAATCTTAGACTTTATTCAAGTATTGTTAAATACTTTTGGCTAAGAAGTCTTGTGGAAATTAGAATGAAGTAGATGTTGGTATCAGTTATGTCATTTTTCAAAATGCTTAGCTCTAATATTAGGAGCTGTATTTACGGTATTTTATTATTTTTATTGTTTTACGAGCTGGACTTGGTGTGATGAATTACCTGTCCCTTATCGGTTACTTGTTATCCTCAGCAGCCAATTGTTTAAGAGCACCCTTAACGAAAAAAAGTTATAGGCTGTTACTCGGTTAATTGCCATTAATATTCCTGGCTAATATGACCTTTGTCTAGTTTTTGCCTTTCAACACAGTTGTACTGTATGAAGCCACCACCTTGCTATGGGAGTTAATTCACATAAAATGGTAGTGACACGTTTCAATTATTGTACTTTGCTTCTGTGTTTCGTATTTCTCAGATTAGTAGAAGTTTCGCGTTAATAATCAGCCAATGTTCTGCTTGTGTTTCAGACACTGGAATGGACTACCAGCCAATGAGTAGCACTGATACTGGAAAAAGAACCTCTGATTCTCATACTGACAGCACATACATCTCAACTACCATCACAAGGGGTGGAGAAAGGACGTTGTTATCTATTACAAACCACAGCACATCATCTGACTCATCTGAAAGTTCCACTTCATATGCCAAAATGTCCAGCCATTCTGAGTCACTCCAATCCTCCTCTTACGTGACTGAGAGTAGAGGAAGTAACATGTCCTCAAGCAACATGGATTTCTCTGCCCCATCAACTGAACCTTTGGCTGTACATTCCCTGAAAACACCTGGATACTCTTCTACAGTAAGGGAGCCATGGACAACTCAGTTCTATTCAGAACCTGCATCCAACACCTTATCATTTTCATCTTCCCCTCCAATGTCACCAAAACAGGATGTACTTCCAACAACTCAGCCTCCAATGTTGTTTTTATCTTCAGAACCCTCTCACCCATCCTCTTCCTCTGCTTTCCCATCAATGGTGTCATCACCCCCTCAGACAGCTTTAACAACATTTTCATCCAGGCTGTCATCAGCAACGCTGTCCACATTGCCACCATTGCTGTCTTTACCGCCTTTGCTTTCCCCAACATTGCCTTTGTTACAGCCTAGTGAAAGTCCTGGAACCAACGTACCCCTGGCTGCATCTGGAGGAACTACTGGCATGGACCCATCCACAGCTGAAAGTCCTCACAGCAAGTACAACCAGTCCAGGAGTTACACAGGCAAGGATAGCACTGCTGTGAAGTCAACAGGAGTTTCTCCTCTCCTGACTGAAACTACTGAGCAGCTTACAAGCTTTTCCTCAACTGTGACAACCTCCCTGCCGAAAACAGAGGTCTCAGAAAAGCAAAACACTTCATTTCCAAGGACCACCATTGAAAAAAATGTTCCCGTTTTGGATACATTTCCCACATACTTGCCAAAAAGTACCACAGTTTCTGAGACATTAAAAGCAATAATTCCTACATTGCCAAGCACAACCACTGAAAAGAATTTGGTGGCAGTAACAACAGGAAAACGCATCCCAAAGATAACTCACACGACATTAGGACTGTCTACTTTGGCACCTAACTCAGATTTTTTTGTTACTACAAAGCCCAGCCGAGTTCGGCTATCCTCCCCTACCAAGATAGCTCACACCACTGGAGTGCCTACAAAAGGAATAGAAAAAAGCAGTGCAACTACTGTTAAAGACACAGAGCATATTATCACTACTACCCATCCTCCCCAAAAGTTTTTTTCTAGCAAGACCACTGCAGGACCTTTTTCTGCTTCATCAGTTCCCATCAAACCAACTACAATTGCACAGTTAAGAAGCCCAAAGACATTTCCGACTTCCCAGGCAAAAGGTGAGCCTTTGAAATAGCCAACCGTGGCTACAGCATGAAAAATGAATTTAACACGTTGAATAATTACTCATTTGGATGAGAATTCATTCAGCAGGTTGGCTTTTTTTAATCCATGAATGTGGCTGTAAGTTTCACAGATACTCCTAGCATACTAGGAAAAGCAGACAAAGGACATAAAAACCTACTTGGAATTTCCACTTAGTCAGAAATGATTTGAGGTTGCAATGGGGAGTGAGCCAGATAAGTTTTTCTTTAAACTTAGTTCATGTGAAAAATATAAATGATTAATATTAGATATATTTAAAATAAATATTTGTAGGATAGGTTTCTTAAAAACCAAAAGCATAATCTGTTCTAAGAGTGAATTCAGGTGCTGAGTTCTGACAAGCTGTGTAGTCAAAACACAGAGCTGCTAAGAAACAAGAGGGTGGTATCAGGATGCTTGGGGGAATCGCAAGAAACAGTCTTCATGGAGAATATCTTAAGGGCTATTCCCCAACTGAAAACAGTTCATTATGGGTGTGTTTAGTGGCCACAATATAGGGTGGGTTTTCAGGAATGGGGAACAGAGTGTGTCCTGGAAGAGTGCATGATTAGCTGGTTAGATGCAGAACAAGTGCCCTCCATCATTGCAGATCCCACTTCACATCATGTATCTTGTACAATAGTTAAGGTTATGTGTTCGCCTGGCATAGCTTATGTAGCTGTTCTGTAATGAATGGCTAGATCTGCTCCTTTAGGTAAAATAGTAGACTGGTAATCTCCATATTACCCACCATACAAAATGCTATGTGAGATGTAGGTTGAATTACAGTGCTTGTCCGCTGTATGAAGCAAGAGTGAGCAACTTGCAGCCCTCAAGAAGTTTGGACCTATAGCTCCTGTGATCTCTCACCACTGGCTGTGCTGGCTAAGGCTGATGGGAATTGTAGCCCAAAACATAGGAAGTTGCCCATCCTTTGTATAAATCTATATTGAGAAGTGCATTGCTTCCTTTTGGCTTGAAGATCTCAGTTGCTACTAATATTCCACAGGTGTTTTCCCTGCTTAACATCAAGTGAGACTTGCAGAATGAGTGGAAAGTATTTTTATGCAGGTTCTCTGGGAATTAGTCATGCATAGGATGGTTCTGGACTATGCGCTGTTGCTGCTTGGCTACTGCAATGGCATACGTCACCTGAAGCTTAGTTTATATTTCTAGGTATCAGGACAAGATACATAATATTAAGAACAATACATGCATTGCTTGGTAACTGAATTGAGTTGCAATCTGATGATCTTAACTTAATTCTTCAAATGTTTTATTTTTCAGCCAGTGGGTGTACCACTGATACCTGTCATAATAATGGGAAATGCATTACAGATGGCAAGACAGATAAATTCCAGTGCCAGTGCTCATTGGGTTGGCAAGGAGAAGACTGCAGTACAGGTAAAGGAGAAATGATGGCAGCCATTTTCACCAGTGCTTTACAATAGTGAAAAACTCTTTACAAGAAACAAAATTTAAATTGGCAAATCATCTTGCTCTGGGTCAGAAATGAACATGATTGGGGCATGTGGAAAGCCTGAGGCAGCCTAAATGAATACTGCCACAACTAGTCTGCTAGTAATTCAGACCCGAGTCTTTTGTAGGAGTCAGAGAGGGTGGTTGCCATCGTGGTGCTATTTATATAGTGCCTGACCTGCTCTGATCTTCCTCTGCTACTGTGTTTGCCGTACCTGTAATTTCTTCCCTATGCCAGCGCTGGGTGCAGGTTTCCTCCCACCTGACGCCCGTCTGCCTTTGCAGGCTTTTGATATGGCAAGTGCTGCTGTTGAGCCGACCCTTTGCAACAGCGCTCTTCCTTTCTCCTTGGCCCGTATGAGCACGTGGACACATTGCCCGTCTACAGGTCTTTCTGTCTTTTGTTTCAGATGTAGATGAGTGCATGTCTAACCCATGCCCGGCCTTGGCTACATGCACTAACACAGAAGGATCGTTCCAATGTTTGTGTGCTCTGGGCTATCAGATGGAAAAAGGACAGTGCAATTTAGGTAAGAGGGCCGAGGAGAAGAAGCAAGCAACAAATGAAAAGCGCCCAGCTATCCAATAAGCTTATTTAGATGCTCTTCTACACATGTGCAGATAGAAGAAAAGTCCTGCAACTCCCAGCATGCCCCAGCCATACATAGGATGGTGCCCTTAATAAGACATAAAGCCATGGACATCTCACGTCCTTTCATTATAAAGAGATTGTTTGTGTTACCAGAAATACTTTGAACTTCGTGTTATTGATTTGTGACCCCGGTATGCTGCCACTTTATGACCTTTATGAGGTCCACCTAGCACCAATGCTTCTTTCCTTTCAACATCAGGCATAAACCCTTTTTATTCTTCCAGTCTTTTAACTGTTAATTTGTTTTAGTAGTGGGTTTATATTTTAACACTGGATGTTGGGCAAATGTTATTTTTATTTTTAGAATTAATTCATTGTAAACCATCCTGAGACATTTAAGTATGGGATGGTATAGAAAAATTTTAAATAAATACATAAAATGACCTCACAGGATTTAGATACTTTTACACCTCCAAAGTTTATCAGTTTTACTGTGTTACTGTCATTGAACAGTACTCTTGGCAGTACAGTAAATTCTCCTTTATCTAGACATTCCAGAGCACTTAGGCCTAATTATTCCACTGCTTCTTGGTATGCTGCCTCTCTGTTTATTGGTTAGTCTGATCTGGAGTGGCATTGAAACCGTGTGTGTGAAACAGCCTTCCTCAGGAACAAGGTGACTAGTGGAGCGAAGCACTCACTGACAACACCTGCTTCACTTGTCATGGGAAGAATCATGTACAGGAGCGACTTCACACACATGAATCCTCCTGCAATTCAGACTCGGCAGTTCTCAGTGACTCTGGATAAGTTTAATGGGACAGAACAAGAAGGCTGCAAACAGCAGAGCTGGTAGGGAAGGGGGGAAATCCCCCCCAAACAGGATCACCATGTTCATGTGTTAACCTTTAGGCGAGAATGTTCTTGGCACGTCCATTTATTTCCTTGCTGCCATTCATACATTTGCAAAATTAAGTGCTGCACAGGGGGCCAATGCTTCCAGCTTCTGGTGCGGGATCGCAGGGGCTCCACTGACTCAGACTCAGCATCTGCCGTAGGACAAGTGTTCTTGAAATTCATGGCCCTTCTCTCCTCCTCCTTGGTGTAACTAAACAAATGAATCTTTCCCTCCTCTGTTTTTAAGAATAGGCGGTTCAGTATGTATGTATGTATGTATGTATGTATGTATGTATTTATTTATTAGAACATTTCTATGCCGCCCCTTGCCGAAGACTCGAGGCGGCTTACAACACAATAAAATACAAAAATAACAATATAAAATTAAAATTAACAATATAAAATAAATAAAAAAAATAACAGATATAAAAGAAGTTATAAAAGAAGTCGCCCTGGCCAGATAAATAAGCAAATATTGTTAACAATTAAAATGACATTTAAATAAAAAGGTATTTAATTATTAAAAAAGGTATTTCATTATTTAATGAAAATGAAGATTTGAAATTGTGTCAATTCTGCATATTTCCAAAATGGAATCCTATCCTCAGACAATATTATCGTTATGAAGCTTTATCCATTGAAACAGTGGCTGTGCTGGTCAGAAACAAATCCTTAAAGGGTCACATTTTATGGCTTCCATTAATGCATAGAACTATCCAAGATTCATCAAAAGTTAGCTGTTTTTAATTTGGATGAAAACATCAGGAGATTCTTCTATGCATCTGTCCTGTCATGTCTACTTTGCCTCTTAGAAACAAGGTGCCCAAATATAAATTAAGAAACTGCAAAGTTTCTGTTTCATAGAAAAATTGGGCTTCTTTGGCATAAAAACTGAACTGTCATGTGTCTGTATGGGAATGATAGGGGCAATGGTATTGTAGAATCTATTCCTCCCGCTGACTAATAAACTATCTTCCTGCCTTCAGTAAGAACATTTGTTGGCCAGTTTCCATTAACATTTAACACCACTGGGAGGTATTCAGAGCTTCATCAGGTTGAAGAGGATATCATAAATATGGTAAGTGTCAAAAATGATTTCATTCTCCACTTCTGGACCCAAAACAGGATAATAAAATGAGGAATAGCTAGCTAGCTTGCTTGCTTGCCTTATTTATTTATTTGCATTTTTATACTGTTCTTATTTAGAGTCTCAGGATAGTTTACAGCATATTAAAAAACATGCTGTAATAGATGAAATAATGACATTTCACCTCTTCAAATCAGCATTCTTTCAGCAGAATGACATGGCTACTACATGTGTTGTCAGTTAACTCTTGTACACCAGATGCAGATTTCATGGACACAGACTCTGAATGTGAGGGGGCTACCATCAGGAGCATGAAAAACCTGTGGTGTGCCCTTCTTACAAAACATTGCAGCAATACTACGGCACTGAGTTTCTAAAGCCTCTTTTCATCAGTTAAGATGCTTTTGTCTGGTGACTTACTTAACCCCAGAGGAGAGGGAGAGCCTTAACCTCACTCCTCAGCAGGGCAATGACTCACTGAAAGAAAACTTGCCTTGGTCCCAAGTTCAGTCCCTTCCTTCTCCATCCAGAACCAAAAAGATTAAGTCTCAAGAGATGCAGATAAATGAACTCCTCTGCCTTGTCTAGGCAAAGCAGGACCTGATACAAGTTTCCTGTGATAACTGATTAAAGGTTATAATAGAAATAAAAGACTGGAAAGTCTGGCTTTCCCACAATACAAGGGAGGTGTCCCTTAAATATATGCATGAACTTGGAAAATTCTCAGCACATTCTGATGCCCAGAGCTTTCGTCATCCTTTCTCTCCTACATTCTCCCCTTCCCTTCCCACTAAACTGACCCATGAGGGCAATTTTGTTTTACATCTTAGTTTGCATTCAGAATTACACAATTAGTAAAAGGTTACCTGTTACTCAGGGATGGAAGCAGCGGGGCCCCCAGATTTCTGTGGGTATTTGCACAGCCCCCTGGGGCTCCAGCATGAATCCAGCCCTCACCCACAGTGGCTGCAACAGTGGCTCTAGCTCCTCTCTCATTCTGGTAGTGCTTGTTCTTGGTGGGCAAGAGGAGCCTCCCTGCACCCGGCAGGCACAGAGAAGGCGAAAGGGGCAGTTCAGGGCCACTGACAGCTGCCCAGCCAAGCCTGGGTGCAAGATGTGGCTGCCCAGCTCAAAGTTCTCAGTGGAATCTGCATTAGAACCTTTCAATAAATCCTCTTGCTCTTTTTCCTGTATTTTCTTCAGCTGAACGATTCGCTAGCAGCTCTGCCTGGCTATTACACCTCAACTGTGAAGGCATCAAGGTAAGGAGCAGGAAGAAGCACAACAGCCACCATGGTTTATTGTGTTGTGTGAACCCACCCACTGACAGAGGTGGCCCATTGAGTGTGTTTTGCCCAATGGTCCTCCAAAACCTGGAGCTGGCTCCGAATGCTTTTATTTTACCAGAAAGCTCTAACACGATCTCTGTGTCCATCTTGTTCCCGGCAAACATGCTGTGTAATAGGAGTGCTTCTTTTCAAAAGGTCCTCGTGGCATTGGACAGATAAAACATAGTCAGGCTTGTTTTGATGCTTAGATCCAGAGCACAGCCCTTGTCATCTCCTGGCCCCGTTCCACTAGGGATGTGTGAGGAATCTGCTTGGCGATGAGGTCCATTGGATCCCTTGGGTTGGTCTCCCAGACTCCAGTCCACCTTGCAGGGGCCCAGAGTCTGAGTTCCTTGTGGGCATGTGCAGTGCTTGTTGGGCACTCGCCAGGGATGGACCCCATGTGCTGCACAAGCAGCGCCCCTTTTCCCCGCACCTCACCCCCCACTGCCAGCAGCAGTCGACAAGGAAGAAGGTTGTTCAGCAGGAAGGGTGCCTGCCACGCTTGCCTGTGGTGCTTCTTTTCTGGGTGCACCTCCACTGGCAGCAGCAATGAGCAGGGGAGAAGGTTGGCCGCTGGGAATGGTGGCTGGCAGGGCTGCTTGCAGTGCCCCCTTTTCTCATTCTGCAGCTGCTCCCGCTTCTGATGGGGAAGGTTGCCAGTTGTGCAGCTGGGGATCTCTGAGCATTACGGACTTCCTCTTACTTTGCAGTTCACTTTGCAGGCCTGGGCTTGAGCACAAGAGGAAGTCTGTGGATGCTGGAGAGACAGATTCCAAAAGGGTTTGTGTGCTACAATGGCTCAGCTCGGAGCAGGCAGGCATTTTATTCTAGCATCTATAGAAATGCCTTTTTTGAAATGAGCCACTATTGGCAAAATGGATCCTCTAATCTGCTGCAGTGAGCCAAGACTAGTGTCATGTGCTATATATATGACATCAGTGCCATTTTCCCTAATGGTTTCTCAATTACACAATGTTGATGCAGTTTATATTTTACTCTTTCTTCAGGCAGTCTGGTACCATCGAAGTATCAGTCCTGAGCACCTTTTCCTTAGTCTCCAATGTCAACCTTTCTGAAATCGTCAGCACTTTGCGAAGCCATATTCAAGCCTGCAAAGCTCCCACAGAGACTTGCCAGTTCTTCTCTAATCTGACACTGTTCCACAGAGGTAAAATTAAATGACTAAGGACTGTGGTATTTTTGTAAAAGGTTTTAAATACAATTCCACCCCCCACCCCAGCTTTTTAAAAGTTTCCTTTGCTGCAAACTTCTAAAAGCATCCCGCCCCCACTATCAACTAGAGTAGAAGTTGTCTTGAAAATCTCCCTCAACTGCAAGTCTTCCTGAAGTATGTGTGAGAAGTGTGTATATCTACAAAGACAAGTGACTGATCTGCTAATGGAAAAGAAAGGTGTTTTTAAAAATTACAAGTAGAAGTTAGGAGGAGAGCGTTGCAATCCTGTACCACCAATCTGGGAGTAAACTTCAGTGAACTCAATAGGACCCATGTCTCAGAAGGTATGCATAGGAATTTCAGAAATAACCTTTCGTAGGTTCATCTTCAGAAAAAGTATTAGCAGGCTGTTTATCAGAGTACAGTAGTCCCCCGAAATTCGCAAGGGTGGCGTTCCTAGAGCACCCGCGAATTGTGAAAAAGCGTGATTTTTGAATGTGATAAAGATTCATTGCCAGAAGCCTTAGAACAGGGGTCCTCAAACTTTTGGGGGGGGCAGTAGAAAGGTGCCAGTGAAGGGCGCAGGCTGCCAAGGCAGTGTGGGTGGGGGGCACGGGTCAGGCCAGGCCGGGGGAGGGGGGCGTGTGTGTGCAGAGATCGTTTTCTCCGAGTGCATCCAAACTGATCTCCTTGCTCACAAGCCTTGCTCGCAAGAAGATCGGTTTGGACCCACTCGGAGAAAACGATCTCGAGGTGCTGGCTGGCGAAGAAAATTCTGCAAAAGACTGAGGCCATGAATGCTGAACTATGACTTCACGGGGGTATACTGTACATTTAAGTTTTTTCCCCCTTTCACTGCTCAAATTCAGTACAAATTAATGGGACTCTCAGGGTCATATATTGTGAAGGCTCTTAGAAGCATATGGCTTTACTTGAAAAGAAAAGGTCAATTTGGATTCCAAAAATTCCGGCTCCCAGCTGTGGTTTTAGATTGGTTGGCATTGCATGAAACAAAACCACACAGTTATGTCTTAATTTCAGAGACGAGCAAGAATTGTACTGTCTGGTGCCTTATGATGGCATCCCAAAGAGAAGAATCAAATGAGTAGCAAGTCTGCTTGGTGTACATTGTGTTCCAACAAAGTTATGACATTTCCAATATTCTTTTTGCAACAGGCGGCCTGTGTAAACGCAAAGATCCAGAATGTGACAAAGAAACTTCTGTGTGTGTGGACTTGGATGGCATTGCAGTTTGCCAGTGCAAGCCTGGATACTTTAAATACAACAAACTGGATCACTCATGCAGAGGTATTGTGCTGTCTGCAGCAATATTGCTAGGGCTGACCTTTAATCTTTTGATTTTAGATCAAAGGATTTTTCTGCAGATGAATGTGATTTTTTTGTATATCTTTGTAAGCTAAGGAGCTCAGGCCACCAAATAAGTATTAATAGCTTATCAGGCTTCCTCCTCACAGTGCTGGCTTTTCTACAGTAGAAATTTGGTATATTGTCCCCTCCTCTGGGTACAGCAACATTATAATCTTTTTATACAGCATACTGTTTAAGCAAGTAAGATCCAGTGAAGAGAATAAAAGGGAGCAGGTCAGGGAAGGGTCTGATATGAGAAAAGTTAGGTTTTTAAAGATGACAGCATGCAACTATTTCTGCCTCTGTCATGTTTGCTCTCCCAGGGAGCTATAAAGATAACTTTTTGAAATTCATACAGTGTTGGATGAATTCTTTACATTGTTCCAAATGAGCTGACACAAAGTCTGATTTTTTTCCCCAAAATGTAAATAGCTGATTCAAAACCACTTAATTATTCTATTAAAGTTTCTTAGATTCTATTCAGTTCAAAATAAAAAGATTTTCTTTGAACATTCAGGATGTCCTGCCCCATGCTGTCTAAATAAACAATATGGATAAGTCCTAGATGCTATCTACATTTCATAAATATCTCATTTTTTCTATTAATAGAAATAGCCATTTCCCTTAGTCCAGGGGTGTCCAAACTTTTTGCAAGGAGGGCCAGATTTGGTGAGGTGAAAATGTGTGGGGGCCGACCATTCAGCCTGACATTCTTTGAACCATTAACGTTAAATGCGAATGAACTATTTTATGAAAGACTAAACAAATAACTTAACTGCACTAATGTGAAGGGTGATACTGAGATCTCGACTGCATTATATAGGCCAGGTCTGGCTCAAAAACAGTGGTTTTGATGCACAAAACTTAGTCACTTAGTCTCGTCCTCATGTGGTTCTTGTTAATGTTCATAACCAAGAATGTCTTCTCGCACAAGTATGTCAAACCAAACAAGCTCAGCATTTTCTTAGCAAATGTTCGAATCTCTTGGAACTTGTCTTTATCCAGCTGGCAGTAAAAGTTGACAAGAGGGAGCTGTTGGTGCCGACTGCGACACTCGGCGTCACACTGCAGCTCAATGAGCTCCAGCTGCAGGTGGTCTGGAGCGTCATCAGGGTCCACAGAGAAAGGAGATGAAAAAAGCGTGATCTCCTTTTCAATAGCTGCAAAATCCCGAAAGCGCTGTTGAAACTCCTCAGCCAGAGATGAGATGTCTGCTTCATATCTCCTTATTTGCGCACTCATATTGTTCTGTGGAAAACTGGTCATTATTTCCTGCAGCGATGGGAAATGTGTGGTATTGGGCTGCGTTTGTGACAGGTGCCTTTGGAAAAGTAGTAGCTTGGTCCCAAAGGGTTTGATATGTCAATACAGTTGGCTTACCACTGCATTTTGCCCCTGAAGGCTCATGTTCAGCACGTTCAGATGTCGTGTTATGTCAACTAAAAATCCAAAATCAGCCAGCCAAACAGGATCAGATAGCTCTGGCATCGGTTGTCCCTTTTTTGCCAAGAATTGTCCGATTTCCTCCCTAAGAGAGTAGAAGCGCTGCAGTGCAGACCCCCAACTGAGCCATCTTACCTCATTGTGATACACAACATCTCCGTATTCAGCCTGGATGTTGAGTAGAAACTGTTGAAACTGGCTGTGGCACAGGGCTTTGGAGTGAATATAATTAATAGCCTTCATCACCGGTTTCATAACAAGATCATATTTCAGATATTTGGCACAGAGAACTTGTTGGTGAATAATACAGTGGCGTTTTATAGCTTTGCCTCCTTCTTCGCTGACTTTGTTACAGACTAGGGTTGATAATCCACTTCGCTCACCAGCCATGGCAGGTGCGCCATCTGTAATAATCCCAGTGACTTTATTCCACAGTAGTTTCATGTCATCTACAGCGGAACAAACAGAAACAAATAAATCTGTTCCTCTTGTTTGGTCCTTAAAACTCTAGAGGTCAAGTAGCTCTTCACTCACGTTCATGTCATTGTCCACTCCTCTCAAAAAAATCAATAACTGAGTGGTGTCAGATACATCCGTGCTTTTGTTGCAGGCTAACGAAAAAAAGTCAGACTCCACTCCTTTTGCCTCTAACTGTCTCTTAATATCAGATGAAACGTCTTCAATTCTCCGTACCACAGTGTTACGAGCCAGGCAAACATTGGCAAACTCTTGCTTCTTCTCAGGACAAATTTTCTCCACCATTTTCATCACGCAGTCTTTAATAAATTCACCCTCAGTAAAAGGTTTGCAGTGCTTGGCAATCAGCGTTGCCACCTCATAGCTCTCCTTTGTGGCATTTTATTTGACTCACGGGCTCTTGTGAAAAAGCGCTGCTGTGCCGTTAAAGCAGCTTCCAGTTCCTTCAATTTTTTGCCGCGTTCATTCCCAGTTAGCTTGTTGTAGTTAGCATGTTTCATCTGGTAGTGCCTCTTGATATTTAATTCCTTGAAAATAGCCACAGTCTCTTGGCAAATTAGGCAGACACAGTTGTTTCGTATTTCAGTGAAAAAATACCCCAATTTCCACTTGTCCTGGAAGCGGCGGCGCTCACTGTCAACTTTCCTTTTTTTTAGTTACAGTCGCCATTTTAGAAATGGGCACACAAACCTTGTGTCACAAGGGTCACACGGCGAGAGTGCTGACTCAGGTCTACTGCCATCTTCTGGTGAAATATAACCACCAGCCTTGAAGGAGCAGGAGGCAGTAGGGGACAGCTGTGGGAACTGCTGTGCGGTGAAGGGGAAAACGCCGGCCGGCAGGGATGAGTGACAAGCTGAGCCGGCGGGGAGAAGAGGCTGCGGGCCACTCGAAATTTGAAAACGGGCCGCAATTGGCCCCCAGGTCAGACTTTGGACATGCCTGCCATAGACTGTATAAAGCTTCTCTCTCCCTCTGTTTCAGAGGCTATATACAAGCTAGCCTCCTTACCTGGAAAAGAGGGGAAGGAGGGTGAGAGAAAAACCAGCTATCCCAGTTAATTTCTGCAAAACATCTTGTTTCAAGGATGAGGAATTCACAGCACCTGATAGCAGGTGATCTTGTGCTTTTATAGAAGCCCCACAAGTTTTTCACAGCAATTAAGCCTAACAAATATCTACACTTAATACCTGTGCTGGACGCTGGGAAGAGTTCACACTTAGCTCCTCATTATGATGTCTTCCAGTTACTGATCCCAGGACAAGAGATTGTAGGCCGTAACATCTAGAGAGCCTCGTTGCCCACCTGTGGGCTCCCAACAGTGAAATAAGCACTTCTACATCTACTCTGGGTGGGCTCAGGATGCGGCTGGAGAGATCATTAGGTGATCCAGAGAAGACTTTGGGCCTCCTTACTGTGTTCTTCCAGCTGCTGTATCAAACTGGGATTCTCTCTGGGGGCCTGATGACTCTTCTTCAGTGCAGGTTTCCACAGAATATGAATCCTGCCTGGAGTATGTCGTGTTGAGCAGAAGCAGAGGTGGGAATGGGGTTACTACCCTTTGCCCTCTAGCAAAGTTAAATTCATTCCAGACTGTTTTTCTGTGTGCAGAGGAGAAAGAGAAAGGTAGACAAATAGTGGGTGGGTGATTTTGAAAGGAAAATATCTGGTGGGCAGCAGGTGAAGAAACCCCCTCCCTCCTGCTCCTCTGCTGAGCATAGCAGGAACTGCTTTTGGTGAAAAAATATTGAGAGAGTTACACCAAGAGGCATAGTTAATCTGTTCCACTGTTGTGGATAATCGCGACCTCTACTGGTCAACTGGTTTAAATGCTCCACAACACTTGTCAAAAGTTGCTTCGTTACTTGCTAGCTCATGCACACACTCTTCTCTCTTTGGACAGACTTCCTTCCTATTACACTTTGATAGTTACCCACAATGCAAGAGGAAAAGTATCATGTATATTTGTCATACTACCAGTAAGAAGTCAGTCATGTGTGGCATAAGTTACCTGTTGTCCTGTCACCACAGCCAAGTGCATTCTGCCAGGGATAATGGGAGTTGTGGTCAAGCACAACCCTCTGGAGGCTGCATGGTTGGGGAAGTTTGCACTAAATTTACCTAATCTTACTTTGGATCCCAACCATTTGGTTTTGCCTGTTGAGATCTGCTCATGGACATTTCCCCCCTCTCTCTTTCTCCTAGCTTGTGAAGATGGATACAGGCTTGAGAATGACACTTGTGTGAGGTAAACTATAGAATGCCGATATCTTTGTTTCTTAGCCTGGATCCCCACCCTCCCTAAATGTGCACTTTTATAATTTTGGTATTGGGCCTAGCTCTGAATCCGCACTTACCAGAGGGCTGGAAGGGGGTTGCAGTCTTCCTTGGTGAGGCTGGCCATGTGCAGATTAGTTCCTGCCCAGCTATATTGTGGCTGGAGCCTCACCCAAGGAACTGGTCAACTTGTACTGGGTGGTTCTGGGGGTGGACCTAAAAGAGAACCTTTTCTTCTGGCCCGCCCCAGCCCACTGGGTCAGTTAATGCTTTGAAGTTGAAATCATGCAATAATGGCCTTCTTCTGTTACAGTTGTCCATTTGGATTGGGAGGATTCAATTGTGGGAATCGTAAGTATCCTATCCATTTGGTTTAATGTTTGTTTAAAATGCTTTTTATGCTGCTTTTCTATATGCTTGTCCAAAGCAGTATGCAATTCAAAATTGTGCATGTGTGTACACAAATACACACATAACTAATACCTAATAACCCTGCATCTTTGAAGGCTCAGTAAAAAGAGAAATCTCAACAGGACACTGGAAAGATAACAGGGAAGAAGCCATATGGGGCATCTTTCAGGGGGCATCTCAGACTCCTGGAGCTGGAACAGAAAAAGTGCCACATTTAGTGGAGGCTAACCAAGCATCAGGCATAAATTGGAGCCTTCAGCAGGTCCTCACTGGTAGAGCCTCAGAGTAGGAAGAGTCATATCAAAGGAAATTTTCTGTGAAAAACTGGAAGCTATGACTTTTAGGAATTTATACATCAAAGCAAAAGCAGAATGCTCAGAATCAATGGGCAACCCATGCTGATGTCTACTCCCTGTTAATGGTCATTTCAAACTACCTGAAGCTTCTGGACTGGTTTTAGGGCAGCCTGGAGAGAGCACATTATAATAATCATAATTATTAATGTATTTTTACATTACATCATACATCATAATGTATTTTTATGATGTCACTGAGCCGTCCTTCTGATTGCCAAACTGTTTCTTTTCTCAGTTTTCTCAAAGAATTTGAATCATATCAAAACTTTCATAAATGTTCCATCACATCACGCCATCTCAGAGGCCATAGCTAAAGAGAATCAAGGAGATGATTCCTGTTATTATTTTCCTGTTATTATTCATACATCCAAGTTGATCTGTATGTAGTTGAAACACCTGTTTCTGTTTTGTTTGGTTTCAGCATATCAGCTTATCACCATTGTGATTGCGGCAGCTGGAGGGGGACTTCTGCTCATTATGGGAATAGCTCTCATTGTCACATGCTGCCAGTATGTATCCGAGGGAAAGGCCTCTTTCTCTTTCTCTTTCTCTTTCTCTTTCTCTTTCTCTTTCTCTTTCTCTTCTCTTCTCTCTTTTCTTCCTTCCTTCCTTCCTTCCTTCCTTCCTTCCTTCCTTCCTTCCTTCCTTTTGCTTAAATACAAATTAAATAGCAGTACTGGAAAACAAAGCTGGCTTTTAATTTTTTTGTGGTGGGGAGGATGGCTGTCTGTGTGTTTTTTAACCATTTTCAAGTGTATGTTTTTTAACCATGTGATTTCTCTGAGCTTTAGGTCAGGTTACCTAAACATTTTACAAAAATTGGGAATGACCAAAGCTTCATAGTTACATAGCAAACACATCAAAAAATATGTGGGAAATATGTCAGGCAAATATCGCAAATCCCAATATATTTAAATATGATCTGAAAGGACGTTCTTTCATTTTCCCAAAGCAGGGATTATTACTATTGCATTTCACCCTGAATGCATTACATTCTCACAAAAGCAACTTCTTGGGCTGAGAAAGCAGTTCTGCTCTGTGATCATCCAGTGAGCTTCATAACTGAGTGGGAATTTGTACCCAGGTTTTCCTGATCAAAGTCAGTGTTCTAATGTAACACAACACTGTGGTTATAAAAAAGAACCATGGACTTACAACAGTCTCCCACTCTTTTCATGTGGTGTACATATAAATGTCTTTTCCTTTCAGGAAGAATAAAAATGACATAAGCAAACTCATATTCAAAAGTGGAGATTTCCAGATGTCACCATATGCTGAATATCCTAAAAACCCTCGAGGTCAGGACTGGGGCAGAGAAACCATTGAAATGCAAGAGAATGGGAGCACTAAAAACCTATTACAGATGACGGATGTTTACTATATGGTAATTATTCCTGAATTTATTTGTTCAATGGAAGCCTGGGGATGTTACATATATTTGGCCATAGTGCAGAAACTTGAACTTGTAAGGACAGGAAAGACTCTGTGTGTTTAGCACAGAGTAAAAATTGATGAAACAATGTATGATATGGGATTCACTTTGGATAGCTCAGCACTGTACAGATGGAGAAATTTCCCTGCACTGTGTAACTAGATTCCTTTGAGAAAGACCAGTCAATAGGTGCTGTTTCTCATTTCTAGAGAAATGGTAAAGGGAGCATCAGTGGGGATAGAGATGCATGTGTTGTACATCTTTTCTTTGCAAGCTTTGTATACTGCTGCTGCCAACTAACACTGATCACCCATCCCTCTACAGTATATGTAATTGTTCTTTTATGGTTTGCTTTTAAGTGAGCTGCCTTACAAAGACTAGTCTCTAAAAGGCAGCTGGAAAATGTCTAAAGTGACAATCCATGAATGAATGGGCTGCCAGAATCAGAGGACTAGAATGGAGTTGGTAGTTTATACTGCTGAACTATCATCATGATAGTATATGTAACAGTCCCCATTATACCCCTGTCCCCAAGCCAAGCTGCTGCTTGCCTCTCTTGTGTTCTCAGATTCTCACAGTCTTGGTTTCAGTGGAAGCCAGTATATTGCACTTACAAGTGCTAATGTGGCAAATAAATCAGTGGGGTACATGTCCTCTTTGGCTGAAGTGACTGATGAGCTCAAGAACAAGTAGTCATTTGAAGCAGGGTAATGGGCCTTTGCACATCTCAGTAGCAATTGCAGGTTAATGGTATAAACAACCTAGAAACTCCATGTTGGTAGGTTGTTGGTATGATATCTACAGTCTAGGATGTTTATAATCCAGGATTATCCTAACATTGAATGGCCATAAACAACACAGAGTGTCAAGTTTAGACTCAAGACCTAGGGACTAACACTAATGATAATTTCATGCTAAAGAATTAAGTCATAATTTGCTACCATGACATGCAAACCAAAATATCTCCTAGTTGCTCTGCAACACATACATAGTTCACTTTAGGCAAAGACAGTGGATTTTTATCCTTCAGAGTGCTGGATTTAGAGCTGCTAGTCCAAGAATAAAAGGACTTCTTTGGATCACAGCAACAAAGCATATCCAATGGAAATGTCCACTATAAAACATGGGAGAGATTATTTTTGCTAGTTTCTCCTTCCCCCTCCAGCCTCCAGCACCACTACTCGTGCTGCAGGGCCTCACAAAATTCCTCAGCTGACTTGGAAGGAGCATAGGGGGTTTCATGGGAAAGGGGCATCCCATAAAAAGCACACTTCTTTTGCCCTTGAGAGTGTTCCAGTGATGGAGTTCTGCTCAAGATGAGTTTGGATCCAACCCGAGAGGTACTTCACTTCCTGAATGATTTTCTTTTTGTGGTCCAGCCACACCTGAATTAGCTGTCATGGAGGCTTTCCCATTACTTACATGTGTGCATATGAAGTGCATGTGCTTATTTTGTATGTACCCATTGCTCTGACTGACAGTGAATTCAAGGCCCACAATTCTTTATTTATATGAATAAAAGATTGGGGAGAAAACTGGCATCTTTACTAGAGATTACCAAGCAGTTGATCAACAGTATGTTTTTCTAGAATTTGCATAATTCTGTTTCTAAAGGCTGTACTTTCAAAGATACTTAATTGGGTTGAGGGCCTTAAGGGATAATCAAAGTGAAAGGAAAATTTTAAAGGTTTTATTGTGTTAAATTATTGCACACCACCTTGAAGGCTTTTTGATAGATGAAGTAGTATATAAATATTAGTAAGTAAAGATAATTACTCCATGAACTAATACAGACAATTATAATAGTATCTGCTTCTTTGCCTTCTCTTGTGTTTTCATAATGCTATCTTTTTGTATTGATATTTATATCCATAGAGAACAAATGGTAACTACTGAATCATTCTTTCCCTCCTTTCTGATTGGATGTCTTTCATTCTAGCCAGCCAATCTAAGGAACCCTGAACTGGAAAGAAATGGACTCTATCCACCCTATACAGGCCTTCCTGGGTCCCGGCATTCTTGCATCTATCCCGGGCAGTACAATCCTTCCTTCATTAGTGATGACAGCAGAAGAAGAGACTACTTCTAAAAGAACTGCAGTAAGGAGACTGGAAGGCAAGCAGAAGATGGGCCTTTACATGCTACTTGTTTCCTGGGTACACTGTCATTGGACAGCTCAGGTGTTGTTGCAATTGCATACAGAAAGGGAACTCGGACAGCACTGAAAAGAGCCATTCCTGGACCAAACCAACTTACATGCCTGTCTGAGAGGCAAGCGGGAAGCTTCATGGAGTTCCTGTGTGTGCATTCTGCATATCCTCACCACTATTTGCATCACAGAAAGTGAATTTAATAATACACCACTAAAGCAAAACTAACCAACACTGTAGATGACACTCTAAAAAAACTAATGCCACTGGGGTGTGTTGTGTTTACAGATAACTAGTGTGTTTGTATCCCCATCTTTTATGCAAAGCTGTCTTGAATGCATTTTATGGAAGGAGCCCTTTCTCTCCCACCAGGTACCTAGTAATTGGCACTAGTGACAAGCTCACCAAATGGCGGGAATGTATGTGGGTAAGTGGCTTGAGGTCAGGGGATCCCTATGCCATATCCAGATTCCAGGGTCTTTTTTTTCCTCCAGGAGAATGTGCTCTCTTGTTTCCTCATGCCTTGTCCTGACACTGGGTTATGTTCTTCTGAGTCAGTAGCAATGTGGTTTCTTGTAATCCTCTGTTTGCCAATCCTTCAGTCTTGACTATTCTTTTCCATGTCTGTTACAAATAGTCACCCATACCTTCTCCAAGCATGGAATTTTGCTCCCCACTAATCTCACAGTGAAAAGGTTTGCCACTCTCATACTATAGAGCCTCCTTTTGTGAGGTTGGTTAAATGCTGTCTCGTAAAACAGAGGTGACAGCAATGCTTAGGACGGCTAGCTATGGAAAAGACCACTGGGAAGCAATCTCACATCGGTTACTAAACCACAATTCTTTGCCTCTTTCATTTCCTGATGGAAAAACAGTTTCTGATCCAACTTTGATACCAGAATGGCTATGCTGCCTGGAAATGATGGGAACTGCAGGCCTACACATTTGCAAGGTGCCAGCATGTGGAAGGCTGTTCTAAGGAATGTGTGATGTTCTAGGAAGAGGACCTTTGTACAGGGTGCAGGTGTGGCTGAGTGATGATTGCAACAAATCCATAAATGGTTCGGTGACGGGGTGAATGGCGAGGGACAGGTCTGCAGATTATAGTTCAGGAACAGTGAAATCTTGAGCAGGTTGTGCAGAATATGCCTGAATGTTTCTAGTCTGGGGAATGGCAGGAATTCCAGATCGGTGTCTCCAGTTTAACTTGTCCAGTGCTCTGTCTCCCAGAGTTTCTAACACAAAATGAACAAGAAGGGGGCTAAGCCCTACAAGGTAAAACAGAAAGAAGAAAAGAGCCCAGGGATGCAAGAGAAAGCAGGGAATGACAGTGGCAGTCTGCCCCTGTCTGTCTGTTGTTGTTGTTGTTAGTCGTGAAGTCGTGTCCGACCCATCGCGACCCCATGGACAATATTCCTCCAGGCCTTCCTGTCCTCCACCTTCCCCTGGAGTCCACTTAAGCTCACGCCAACTGCTTCAGTGACTCCACTGATATTCCAAAGTATAGCCAGTTTCCTGCATGGCTAAGTCGAATTCTCTTATAAGGGGATTAGCCAGGTTAGTCAACTGAATTCAGTTACGGATATACCCTGTGATGTTTGTGGAGAGCTGGATTCATTTCGGATTCTGTTTATCATATGGCAAGCTAAGATATTATTCTGTAAACCAGCCACGTTTTATACACATAACTATGGCATGTCCCTCCACAAGCAGAAAGGGACAGGGCAAAATATAAAAAGCAAAGTTTTGTCTTGTTTTAGCACCAAAGGCAACTATTTTGTTATGTGAAAGCCATTTGCCAGAAATATCTCCAATTATTTTGGCACAGGCTGTGCTGAGTTCTGTTTGCTACTGTAAAAAGCACTCCATGCTGTGAAAGTATTCCAAAGTTATTTCACAAAGCAGAACCTGTATTTGCAGACAGGAAAGATAGATATGAGTGTTGTTCATTCACCTTGATCTAATTCATACATGTAAAAGGGCTCTCTATGGGGTAAAAAAAAAACCTGTAACAACTCAAAACATGTCCAGAATGCTGAGCAAATGGTGATATTTGTTGCATCCAGTCTGAAAACACATTTCCTAACAGATGGTAGGAACAGTCAGATTAGCAGGACTAACAGTTCCCGCCATCTGTTTGATGGACGTATACACAAAATCCCCATGCGTACCTTCAACCCATCCCTTGCATCACTACCCAAGTTTCAGGTCAGAAAAGTCAACTGTAATATGCCCATTCCTATACAAAAGATGCAGTTCCTTCAGTTCAGGTGAGAAAAATGTCACACACACACACTAGCTCATCAGTCATTCCCTCAACCCACTGAACCCTGGAAAATGTACTTCTGGGTACAGAACTAGAGAGCACTTACAATGAATTCTCAGCAATCCAAGATTCTCTCATTTACATTCCCATAAACATGGCATTATATTGTAGATAAACTATGAATAATGTCTCCTTGGAATCTCTGTAGAATCCCATTGTCCCAATTTCATCCCCCAGGGCTCATGAGAGGGTGCACCCCACTGCCAAATTTGCTGCCAAAATTTTGCAGCCTGATGGTAGCAAATTTGGGGAGATGGAGCAGCTTTGTTTTAAAGTGATACAATGAAAACCCCCTGGCAGCACAACTTGGATTTTAAAACGTGTATGCTTCCCTTGCATCTTGTTTTAAAGGAACATTGTTCCTTTTTGCTATTGCTGAATATTGGCAGCAAATTCAGTGGGGCATCTCTAATGCTTACCCTTGCATTAGACCAAGTATAACTTTTCACATGGCACAGCACTTGTGTTTTAAGACTGTGATTTAAATGGTCATGTGTTTGAATGACATGCTTTCACTAAATTATTGAGATAATTTGTGTGAAATACTATTGTGATATCTTTGCAAGAGAATAATGAGTGCTGCTCAGTTTGTTGTTTCATAGAAAGACCTATGGAATGTCAAGGAAAACCTCCCAAATCTTGCAAAGCTTATTAGAGAGTTATATCTCTGTTATATAATTCTGTAGAAAGTTTGAAACAAAACGATTTTACAGAATCAAATCTCTCTCTATATATATATTTCTTAACTGTTTTGCTGGTTTTTAAATGAAATCTAGTTAAGTTCTTTTGTTTTCATTCTTAATGAAATTTGCCAGGACTACAAAAAAGAAAAAGTATCAACAATTGCATATGATCTACCATTTCTTTTAAACAAGAAGAATAAAACCTTGGTGTGTGTCTTCATGAAGACTCTGAATGTACCATCAGTTGACCTGCAATTCTTCTATTGTACATTATTCTGGAGTACAGCTTTGCATATCTGAACATAACTTCTGAATTGTTCGTTTATTTTAATTTTCCAATGCAGTGTTATTTAAGATTGTATCTTATTTGCAGCCTCCACTAATTATACAGTACTGTAGTTCCAAAGTATAATTTCTAAGGATTGGATTATTTTTATACCAGCATCCAACATGTTTGAACTCTGACGTTCTAGTCAGTATTAAAAAAATGTAATAAAAGCATTAATAATATCCTGAACCTGAGTTTTTATTGGTGAAACATGACAACACCCAAATTGAAGCAAGCCTGAGGAATGTATCAAATAATAGATTTATTAATAGCCTGCACAGAAAATATTAGCAGGTAACTATTTTTTATTTTATTAAAAGTTTTTTCTATACCATCCTTCACTGAGTCCCAGGATGGTGACTATGGCAATATTTAGTAATCCCAATTGGATATGTGTTATACAGGTAACAGGAATTCTTGAATCCAGGATTCTGGAAAAGGGAAACGTCACATTTCAATGCACAGTTGCATTCTGTTTATTAAATTCTTTACTGTATTTTTGTAGCCATTCCATGGCATATAATCTCTGTGTAGCTCCCAGAAAAGAACAATTCAAGGGATCACAGTGGGTAGGTAACATAGTTGCTTTCTATCAAATGAAACTGCTTGTCTCTCTAGCCCTGTATTGTTGACACTGACTAGCGAGGAGGAGAAGGGAAAAGGAACTTTCCTGTTTTGCCCTCTGCTGCTCACTGATGCAAAGAAGGAACGTTAAATGCCCAGCTCACTCTCCAGTACTGTTCAGAGTTCTCTCTCGCCTTCAGTGAGACCACAAAGAAGCAAGCCCAATCATGGGTGCTCTGTGCAAATGCGCTATCTTTTCACGTATAATAATCCAGAGATGATTGGCTGTAAGCACTGGGGTGGGTGCCCTGTTGCGAAAAAACAGGTGCTGGGTCCTGCACAATCACAGAACCATGTGTGGGAGTCCTCATGGACACCCCCCTCCTCTGCTGGCTGCAGACATTGCTACTGTGTCAAGGGGGCTTTTTGACTGTGGGCCCCCAGCATGTAATTCCCAGAAAAGAAACAGCAAACAGGAGAGGGTGCTAAGCTTTCCCCCCATCTAGTTTTCCATTCCAGCTCCCTCCTCACCAGCTACTTCTCCCAGCAGAGGGTCCTGATTCATATCCATGTTGAAAACGGGATATGAGTCAGGGCTGTGAAAACAGTTGCAGGTAGGAATTACCAAAGTACAATGACGGATGGTACTAGAGGTGAAAATACTGTTAGTTTTCAGCATCTACTAAAGACAATCTTGATTTTAAATATTTTGATTCATATTTTAATTCTATTTTTTCCTTTACTGCTCACTGATCAGGGATTCTGTGTAGATACAGAGAAGTTTATAATTGTGTAATTATAATAATTATAATATATAATAAGTTTATAGATTTGAGATGGTATACTATTTATTTATTTATTTAAAACATTTTTATGCCGCCCCCATCGCAACAAAGCCTCGGGGCAGCTCACAACAATAGGACCTCATAGGACCTACCACGCATGCGGGGAGAGAGAGAGAGAGAGAGAGAGAGAGAGAGAGAGAGAGAGAGAGAGAGAGAGAGAGAGAGAGAGCGCGCGCGCGCGCGCAAGCGAACTCATTGCTGCAAAGAGCAGGTCAGTGGTTAGGTTTATTTTATGAGTGCTCATTTGCCATTGCAGATCCAGTGGAGGAGGAAGACCGTCCCTGTTGGATCCTGCCTTTTGTAAACAGACAGACAAAAACAGTATTGTATTAGTATTGCCGATAATGGAGCACCAACATCAAACGCACTCAATCCAAGTTCAAGGTCTTAAATGACATGACACCTACCGTCACATTTTGATCTGATAGCTGCTAAAAATAGAGCTCTGCTTCACAGTAATAAACATAAAAATCTTCCTGGAGACAAAGGAGACTTTAACACCAGGAAATAATTTGCATGTGTTGCTCAAGAGCTGCCCTGGACTAGTGCGTCCACGTTGTTTTGAAATGCCTCACCGCAACATCATTTTTTCATATAAGTGCTTAGTTTTATGTGCATAAATATTTATCAGAACATTTAAAAACTGGGAGGGGGGTTAATACCATACTAATAAAATCATGATCTGGTACTCATTAGTTTGAGGAGCATGCTTAAAATCTCAGGACATAAGGAAGTGTGTTAACAGCATGCCAAAGTGTAAGAAAGCACCAGCCATAAATTGATATAACTCATTTGTGGTTCTGACGTCAATTAAAAGTTGAACTCTGTACTCATAGGAGAGTTCTAAAGGAGACAAATCCGGGAGGAGAAAACACTTCCTTGTAGAATTAGCAGGGAGCAACTGCAAAAATGAAAGCCTGTATCTTTCTCACTATCCTGTGGATTGCCTTCTGTGCTGAGAAAGGTAAGCATTACATTCATCTCAAAAAGATAGTTAAATACCAGTAATTTAGGGCAAGATCGATTTCTGGACTTTTTTCTTTTCTTGTGACAAATCTGCCAACTTGCTCATTGCCACATTGTACCATATTATCCATCTGCAGTGGTGTGGGAAGGGTGGGCATTTGCTGCTTCACCTCAGCCGCAAAATGTTTTGAGCCAGCTTTAGAAAGAAAAGGAAAAGAAAGTGGTGGAGGCAGGGGTGTGGGGTGGAGGGGGAGGCCTAAAAAAATTCTAACAACTCAAAAATGGGAAGCTTTACATGTCAGGTACTTTTAAATCCTTTCCAAGCACTCAGACTAGAAGCAGGAAAGGCCAAACAAAGAAGCCACAATGTATCATGAAATCTTTGGGAGGTCCAGGGACCTCAGGTGTCAAAACAGAGAGCGTGCAGGGTGCTTTGTAGCAGCTACTGATGAGAAATTTCCAGTTACTGGAAAATATATATTTACATTTTTGCTGGTCCCTCTAATTTCCAAGCTGACAGGGGTTGCACTAAAAATGGTTGGTGTGCCTTTTCTATTTGATCTATGGTATTCTGGTTTTACTTGTGAGATTGTATTGTTACACTGCTATCTTTATTGTATATTGTAACCCACCCAGGAAGCCTTATGGGTAATGGAGCAGGATAAAAGTCTAAAGAAAGAAAGAAAGAAAGAAAGAAAGAAGAGGGAGGGAGGGGGGCTGTAGCGGCGACATGTACCACCCTTAGTTTAGCATGATTATGGATATGTGGACCTATCTTTCTGTCTATAAGGTAAGGAAATAATTAAACTACAAACCATGGATTATGCAGCTATGGCTTCCACTTCCATCAGGCAATGCACTGCGGCAAATTGCTTCTACATGATACAGCTTGCCTGCATTTCATCCAAGTCCTTGTCACATACAGCTGTATAAAACTCCACCAAGAGTTATTTTTAAGGATCCAGGAAACTGATTACTACCAACTAAGAAGCTAAAGTTTGAAGAGGCTCTCCAAACTCAGGAAGAGCTTTGCCATCAGGCAACATGAGGTGGCCATCAGATGTTGGGTGTGGCGGGCCAGTAAGGTGTTGGAGAACAGAGCTCTGCACCACTTAAACCAGGAGTAGGCCATATTTTAGGCCCACGGGCACACCTGAAAAAGTGAGAAACCCCGTCGGACATACCCATGAAACAGCTGCAGCAGGTGCACCCAGCAGCTCACAAAGGGCAACCCATCTAGAGCCAGTCATGGGAAGTTAAGATGGCAGTGGTTATAGGCTGCCCCTTCACCTTAAAGCAATACCAGTTGCCAGTAAGAAACTATATTAAAAATTGCTTTTAAATACAAATTGGGAAGAGAAGGGCATCTCAGTGGACACTAAAGAAGGTTTCTCAGGTAGCTACAGGCCCTAAACTATCCGGCTGCCTTCGAGTGCAGTACTGGATAAGTGCAGGACACTGCATTGCATGTCCTGAAGCAAGGATGAGCTGATGGGCCGGCTGGCTCCTGTACATGGAGTGGGGATGTGGGTGGGTGCCCTCTTGTCCTTAACTTGAGGCAACCTGCCCTCTTGGGCTAGTTCTTCCCAAGCACTGGGAAAATGGGCACCCTGGATGATCCAAGCTGCTCTGGTTTCCTCTAAATGGCCGTCCAGAGTGGCTGGAGGTGGGGGTGGCTCAAACAGGCCACCCTAGGTGAGCACCTAGGTTAACACTAGCAGTAGAGCATCTTGGAATAGGAACATGTGCTCAAGCAGTTCCCTTCCAAAACAGGGAGAATTTTAATACAACAATCAAAATATACAATGTGCTTTGAGAAAATTGGCCAGCAAAAGGCACTTCATAGCATAACACAATTTCAGCAATTGATATATCACAAATAAAACTAAGAAAATGAGGGTGGAGGAGTAAAATGTAGAAAGCAAACTTCCATGTGCTGGATTTGATTGGTGGAGAAATTAGTTTATGAAGTCCCTTGGTGGTATGCAGATAGCCTAGGCTGAGCTGGACAGAGCTATGGCTGTGAGGGCAGAGACCAGGATTAAGCAAACTGGGGCCAGGATGTGGCTAGAAAGAGGGACAGATAAAAGAGAGGTTCAGGGATGAGCCTGCAAGAGCAAGAATGAGGCAAAGATCTCACAGAGATTTGGCAAAAAGGTGGTTAGCTAAATCAAAGCAATCTGGGTTAGCGCTCTCGCTCTCGCTCGCTCTCTCGCGCTCTCTCTCTCTCTCTCTCTCACACACACACACACACACACTTGTCTCTCACCTTTCTTGAACCTGAAGCATTTGCAAAGTCTTTACTACAGCTGGGCACAAATGCCCTCTCAAAATTCTCCAATCTGTGAGCAAAGAAGCTGGGGGAATAATTTCACCGTATTTCTCCAGTGGGAGGAAAAAATATTCAATTTTTACCCAAGTAGACAAGGAAAGTGTATTATCACTGGTTTGACTTGCGTGTGTCAGTGAGATACACAAATGTAAATGTAGATGTGCAGGATCTGGAAAAGAGCTCCAGTATGGAGTGTAAGTTCATGCCAGTGGCTCCCCCACCCTCATATCTTTTTCTCACAAGCCAGCAATGAAAGCCTGGGCTAAGCTATGTGTTAGACCAGGTATTATCTTAAGGCAGGTTGGCATGTTAGTCAGGAAATTCTGAAGCATGCCTTACAACACAGCCCCAGAGACATACATTTTGGGATTCTCAGTATTTCACTTTGGTCAACTCAGGCAAGAAGACTCTCAGGCCAGGGATTTGGTGGTTCACCAAAAGAATCCCAGAATGTCCCAAATGCTGAAAATTTGCTGACTGTT